AGAGGGACCATGGTTGGCTTACGCTGCAACACCCACAGCTCCAACCACACACCCCATATCCAGTGTAAACCCGAAGGAAAAAGACCGGGAGGCATGTGGATGGGAGCCACATTTCATAAACGGAGCCGGCCCACACTCCTTCACAGACAAACACAAGCACACTGTATTTGGGAATCAAGCGCACACAAGGCGATGGCTGGACCGTAGTCCGTTCCACACTGACTACATGGAACCACTCTTTGATCCTAACACGGCCACAAGGACCGTGCACCCCGTCCCTTCCAGCAACGGCCCACTGTCTCCTGGAACCAGTATGGACGAGGTAGTGGGTAATAGACAGGTAGGCACCTTGTCAACATGCACATCAAGCGCAGCCACACCAAGGATATCAAGCAACAGCCAATCACTTGAGAGAAAGCAAACAAAGAAAATAAATCGTGTAATGCATAAGGAAACGTGACAAAAACCTTAACCTAACGAGCCTATGAAATAAGTTGTTAATAAAGGATCCGAGATAAGTTCAGCAGGTCAGAACGTATATTTTACGGAAATGACACAAACACGAAAATGTTATCGAAATTAACTACAATTGCCTTAAGCGAGTTGTGCCGGTTTATAGAAGAGCGTACAGGTAGACATTTATTGGAGAAAGAAAAGCATTAGGAAAAAATTGAAAACCCACCACCTGAAATAAAGAGACGTAACATGCAAGCACGCGGTTAGTAAGTCGAATGCAGCGTACCTACAAACGCCGCGCTGGTTCTGCCTACGTTCTCTGCAGGACCCGTCGTCGTTTCGGTGGTGATCCCGAGTGGCCTCGCTCACGGCTCACTAGGCCTGCCTGACTCAGGCACTCGCGATCGCATGTGCAAAAGCACCATACGCTTGATGTCGATGGAGAACAACCCATCGGTGCTTGCCGCTTCCGCACTTGCCGCTTTTTCTCTACATGCATGAGGGCTTTCTCCTTCACCTCGGCAACTGCTTTCGTGATTAGATCGCGCCATGCACGCCGATCAACCACCTTCGATTTCCATGATCTGCAATCAAGGTTAGAAAGTGATAGCCTCACTTGAAGCATGTCCTGGTAACGTAACTTTGGTTTCCCCACGTGCCGATTCCCTATACTCAGCTGACCATATAAGAGTTGCTTCGGTATCCGCGTTGAATTCATACGGATCACATGACCGAGTCACTACAGATGTCTCAGCAAAAGTATGCAGTCCACTACATACATTCCACTATGATATATATATATATATATATATATATATATATATATATATATCACCGGAAACCATGAAGAACAAAAACCTGTCAGCGAACTTCGTTTCTTTCGAGGCCAAACCTGTCCTCTGCAACTTCCGCAACTTGCATCGTGGTGGAGGATATCGAAGTGCGCTTGCAAACCATGACGGTCGGAAGCCGTCCCCCGTGGCCTAGTGGCATACGCTGCTGAAGGGCGGTGGGTAGCACTCCAAAAGATAACTATTATCTTTTGTGTACGATTTCACCGATGACCATTTGTACACTATTATTTCTTGTTTTAACCTCGCTTACATCACGTCCATGTTGACCTACATCCGGCTCGACACTTGAGCGTCTTGCAAGTTCCCGTGCTAACCTGTTGCTCTTAGCTCGCTTAATCCGTCAACCTCTTCTGGTAGCCCATCGAATACTGTCCGCTGTGTCCGACTTCAATTGCCTTCTGACATCCGTGCTTACTTTCGCGCACCGTCTCGGACTAGTATTTACTCGTCCTACAAATTGGTGACCCCGATACGCATACGCGAATTTAAACATTTTTCGTTGTTTGTAGTTTTTGGTTAGTTCGTACCTTTTTCTCGATTATATACGTGTATTCGTTTGTTGCTTGCGTAATTTTAGTAGTTTCATCGTCTTTTTATTCCTTTTTAGCTTTCTGATTCACATCTCGAAACTGGCAGCTGAGTCGTTTCACAGAGTAAATATGCTTACTTTGGCTTTGCCGAGTTTCATAGAACACAGCCCATAGGTTTGGTTTGCGATATTCGAGATCGAACTGGAAAATAAGTGCATTACGACGGACCGTCCATGGTACGATCAGTTCGTCCCACGCATTCCTTCGTCGGTTGTGACGTTGTTTGTGACTAACTACTCTGCACATCGAACGAGGCAAAGTATGGGACGATGAAGCAAGCGATTCTAGAAGAATTACAGCCCAGAGCACGAGCTCGATTTGAACAGTTCAGTGGTCTCAAGCTGGGAGATCGCAAGCGGTTGACGTTGCACCATGAAATTCAGCGCATCGCTGGTCCTTTATTCTTGAGCGAAGAAGGGATGAAGAAACGGTGATTTGCACATCTTCCAGAGCCATTGCCTGTAATGCTGTCCATGTTTCTGGATACGCCCTTGAAAGAACTAGCTACCAAAGCAAACATTGCGTTCGAACGTCTTCCGCAGCAGATGGCCACTAGCTCTGCTGATGTATTCTCACCGATCAAAAGCGAGTTTCATATTTGCAACAAGTCGTCAGGCCGATCGGAACCTAGAAGAGGAAATTGTGCTAATTAGCAGCAAGATAGCAGCACTGAAGGCTTCGAAGTAGCGTGTGCCATGGTCAGATACTGACCATGTTTTGGCTACAATTCATTGCGGCTGGTCTGTTCCCGCATCAGGTACGTCTTCTTGGACACGAAAGCGCAACATTTTCCTTGCACGTTCTCAGTCAGATAATACCAAACCCGTCGAAGAAGTATATTGGTATCACCGCTAATATGGTGGGTGAGCTAGAAGTTGTCGGACTCCCTGCATGAGGCACGGCTCATCCGCTTCAGTAAAAGTGAATCGCCCGCACACTAGCATGACCAATGTATCCTTCAATAACCAAGCAAATCGCTTGTTTTCCATTTAGCATCCACGTTTTTCTATCACCTTCCTCATCGACACGGGAGCAGAAGTCAAAGTTATCCCGGCGAACGCGAACGACCAGCAACCAAAGCCTACGTACAATCTGCGTGCGGCCAACGGTTCTCCGATAGCTTCATTCGGTCAGCGCATGATGAACCTGAACCTCAATCTTCGCCGAGATTTTCAGTTGGTCTTCATGGTTGCGTCTGTGCCCTTCGCATTTATCGGTATCGACTTCCTCCGACATTTTGCCTAGCTTTTTGATGCTGGTTGCCACATACTTTTAAACAACTGCACTAAACTAGGGATTGAAGGCGTTCTTACGGACGCCACGGTAATCAGTCCCGTTTTCCGGATCGCAGAAGTACCTTCAGGTTATGTGAACCTAATGTCTGAATACCCTCGACTAGTAGGACCAGCTGCAGAACTTCCGCCAGTCACGACAGAGGTTGCTCACCACTTAGTCACGCGCGGTCAACCCGTCAGCGCACGACCAAGACTGCTTGCTCCAGACAAACTACGTACAGCACGAGCTGAATTCGACCACATGCTTCAGCTCGGTGTCGTCAGACCATCCAACAGCCCATGGGTCTCGCTTCTCCACATGGTCCCGAAGAAGGTCATGGGGACCGACGTCCTTGCGGCGACTATCGAACCTTGAAGACGGTTACCACGTCCGATCGCTTTCCGATCTCACACATAGTGGATCCCACCGCAAGTCTGGTAAGTAAAAATATCCTCAGCAAAATCGACTTGGTACGCGCATACAACCAAATTCCGGTAGCCGAAGCGAACATGGCTAAAACTGCCCTGACAACTCAATTTGGTTTTTCAAATTCCTGCGCATGCCATTCGGTCTAAAGAATGACACGCAAACTTTTCAGCGCTTCATCGACCAAGTTTGTCGCGGCTTAGACACCGCTCACGCTTATCTCGACGACATTTTAATCGCGAACGCTTCACGAGAAGAGCACATGCAACACGTAGGAACACTTTTTAATTGTTTATCCCAACACAGGGTGACGAGCAATGCAGAAATGTGTTCGTTTGTTCTCTATTCAGTCAACTCCCTTGGCTATTGTATCTCCTCTGCAAGCGTCGTGCCATTGCAGGATAAAATTCAAGCCATCATCGACTACCACGAGCCTCATTCCTTCAAACAGCTTACCAGTTTTGATAAGCTTGTTAACTCTTATCGACGGTTCATGCTAAAATGCGCGTCGCTGATGCAACCCCTCACAGACCTCCGAGGGGAATTCAAGAAATTAGAATTTCCTGCCGCAGCACGCGCTGCTTTTAAGTCGCTGAAAGAGGCTATCGGCAACATAGCTTCTATAGCGCATCTCGATCCGGCCGCCCCACTGTCCCTCAGTATTGACACCTAGCACGTGGTAGTCTCCGCTGTTTTGCAGCAACGAGTAGCCGACAGGTGGCAGCCCTGAGCGTTTTTCTCCAAAAGCCTACAACCTACCGCATCTCGCTACAGCACGTTCAGTAGAGAACTACTAGCCATATACCTAGCGATACGTCACTTTCGACATGTTGTAGAAGGCCGCTGCTTTGCCGTCTTCACCGACCACAAACCCTTTACTTATGTGCTCGGCTCGAGTGCCGACCGATACTATCCTAGAGAGTCGCGCAACCTTGACTATATCGCTCAGTTTACGACCGCTATACGGCATGTCTCAGGTGTGCACAACGCCGTCGCTGATGCAATTTCCCGAATCCAAGCTATCTTCGCTGATGCCAGCACTGCTATCGAATTGGCAGCCATGGCCGCAGCGCAACTCCATGCTCCTGAGGTTGCTATAATATGCATGTCTCCATCCCTGAACATACGACCCGTTCCGCTGACATCATCAGACGGAACTATACTTTGTGACATCGTTGGGGTGCGAAGTAACCGGTCATCAACCTGACAAGGCGACTCGACGACATGGCTATTGACTTCAATTGGCTCGTGAAATCCCAGCACCGTAGTTGCACCTGACATCCTAGCTGCCCTACAATTGGCTGTTCACTGGATAAATGGGCGCACAGCTGATTGGCAGAATGGCATCGTAGCATCGACCAAGGCACACCAACCAATCAAACCGAAGGTCGCGCTTTATAAGCTTGCGAGAAGCATGCGACGGGCAGAAACGTGTGGTCCGTTCTCGAGTTACGGCATGTCATTCTCCCGACAACATGGCGATGGGCTTCTATTATTGTTACAAGCTGCACAGAAGCTCGCTGAGGATGGTAAGTCTAAACACTACGTTATAGTCAAGACATTCAAATGAAACCAAGGTCCCTCCTAGAAATCCGAGGCTAGTTACGTTTCCACCGCCGTTCGCCTAACAAACTGGTCAGCAGCACATCCCTGACATTTTCCCTACTTGTTTACCTTATGCATATGTCAAGTACTAAGCGGTATACAGGCATATCTGTATCAGTGATCCAGTAGAAGCGTTGGTGTGGCGTTTCTGTGACGGTATTGAGTAAACCAGGCCTAGCTTCTGCTATTAAGACAGGCCCTTCTTCCAGCGAGCTACATTTTCATAAGCCTTAGCAATCTTTTCCGTGAACATATTACTTTTGTTGCTGTGATTTCTTCAGCCAGTTGCATTTAAAGCACAGCTCCGTTCTATCCAAAGCTTAGGCCTACAGGGTGTTTGACATTGATCTAATTCCTTCCCTCATTACATTGTTCGGTACTACCAGTGCGATAAGCATCAGCACTACCTCACGTTTTAGCACGCTGGGACGACGGTCTCACTATATCCCTTCAGCGTGCTTCATTGAAGTTAAACTTTTTTGAACTCGGTTTTCACACTGCCACTCAGCTGTAGGTTGTCACTGTTATGTTTCTACAATGCTCTCATGTTCATATATTATGCACACAACGTTTTCTGCTTCTTGTCAGTCTATTGTCTTCAATTCATTTCGTCCTGAATGTAGTGTATTGCAAACTTTGTTCTTCAGTCATCATTGCCGTGGCACCATTGCTTGTTGTCACTTGTAATTGATGAGGAGTGGGTTGGACGTTCGATGCAACCGTTTATTAACACACCTTTTTTCGATGAGGCTAACACACTTATCGATCGTCCATATCAGGACCCAAACGAGCTTGCTACTCAGAAGCTTGGGAACAGAGATCGGGCCAGCGCGTTCCACATGACGTCAAGTACCCTATAGCCAACAGCTATGCTTATGGTTCTCCAGGCAGGCCGATTAGCACACTTAGGTGAGTTGTTAATTTCTCATTTCTGAGTACTACCATTTCAGATGCACCCATAACGAACTAGAGAAGAGTCGGTATGTTCATTGTCAATTGTCATGTACGTTACTAGTCGCGCCCATCTTCGAGCATGCATGGAGACATTAAAGGAACATCTGCATTTTGACAATGATATTCCTAGGATCACCATGTTGACGGTTCTCAAGAAGGCGACCTCGACGATTGAAGTAAGCTTTTATTATGCCAACTAATTCACCGGCTGTGGCACGCTGATCACTATGATACCTGCAACGTCTCACGTTCCTTTCTAGTACCTCAGACAGAGGAACCAGTGCCTGGAAACTTGTGAGGACAACGAAAAACAGCGTTGTGCTCAATTAATTAAGCGACGCGAAATACTGAAGAAAAAGCTGCTCGAGAAGCGTAACAGATCACTGAAGCTCCAAAGCTGGAGAGAACGCAATCGAAACTGCTCTGAGTGCTCCATTAACACGACTTCATCTGGTGGGTTATCAAATGGTACACCAGTCATCTGTTTGCTTCACATTATTTTTGGTCGTAATGAGCTTTTTCGTGTTTTTCTAGATGATTCCGAGGTGGATCCTCATTTCCGACACATTGGGCATCCGGAATATACGTCCTCTCACGGTCCTTGCAGCGCGTTTTCGAGGATGGACGCAATAGGTCTCGGCGCCAGCTGCCTTACCAGCAAGACAAAGAATGTTCATGTGTTGGGCACTTATACACGACCACCTTCCCGACTAGACTGTTTCGACACCAGCAGCTCCGACTCTGGCTACGAAGAGATTACCATAGGATCCAACGGGATCACATCATCAGACGAAAATTCGCGGACTTCTCAGATTGGTGACAGTTCTCCGTGCCACAAATTTCGTCCTAAATCTCCTACAGAACTTCTGAGCCTATGATGCTCAAGCTGGTCACCGACTGTCAAGCCGGGCACTGTTTGTTTCCACATTTACACTTTTTACTCGGGAACGCAAAAGCTTTCAGTCGTTTGTGCCAAGAAGTGTTCGACAGGATAACGACTCAATCGCATTCAACTTTAAGAGAATTGAACTTCCTTTCTATTGTGAAGAGCTTCGCAATTCGTATTTTGTTCGATACCCTCAACCACTCGACATGATTTATGTGGGTGAGTGTCCCCCTCTTCCACATTTTCTTACATCATTTCAGCTGTAAAGATTCTTGGAGCCACCGTCTGTTAACTGAACTTTGTTTTGTCAGGTCCAGGCAGCTATTTTTCGATGTATCGGCACGGTACATGTTATCTACGATCCTCATTCCACTTCCACCGCCGTGTTCTCTTCCGAACATTCACACACCAATGATGAGCCGTGATTTTGAAGTATTTTGCATTTTCCTGTAGTTTCTGAGAGGACTCACGTCTATTTGGCTCGTATCACAGTCCGTCTACCTTTGCTTTTATCCTCGGCTTGACACTTTCCGACTTGTGTCCACTGTAGGCCGGATTCTCGGCTTCGTTAGTCTTTCAAACGGTTTCCCCTTAGGCTTTTTTATTACGTCCAACGCGATCAACTTATGGATGGTGCTGTCTGAAGCGTATTGTTTGTGGATTTTACAGTTGTCTCCACTTACGTGCAATCGGGCAGCAGCTCATCCCTCTTACCGCACATATTGCATCATAATGCTGTTGCTGAAGCTCAGTCCAAATACCGTCCGCTTTTGCTTACTTTTTGCGATCTGGTTCTTCGCAGATTTCTGTCGTGCTCTAATTTTTCAGCATTTCTCAATTGTTGGACTTGTAGTGGCAGCGATTTTTCTGTGATTGCCTCCATTAATGAGTGACGCTGTTTATTTTTCTTTGTAACACCTTTTTTGAACAACGTGCCCACCACGCTGTTGACTACTACCGCACGTTCACACATTCATGTATATACCAAGCTCTAATTTTGCAGCCTTTTTAATCATCAGGGAATTGCACATGTTTATTTGCGTTTAGCGATGTTCGGCTCATTACTTGCAGATTTCATTGTCCCATTGGCGCACTTCACTATTGCTTGTGACGCACTGGGTGTACAGCTCGCATTTAAGAATTGCGCATATCAACGACCGTGTGGGATTGATTTGTTCCATGTAGTATATTTTTCCTGATGCTATCCTTCAAGAATTAGTGATTTGTCCTTTTAGTCTTACTTCATGCAAATATTTGTAGCGATGTGCTACAAGATTTCATTTCTAACTACTGCCGTCCTCAGGAAGCGCAATAAGCCGTACAGATATCTTATTACCATCGTTACCGTTATCACTAAGTGTCAATGTCAGCTGGGCACACTCATATTGACACCTAATTGTACAAGCTCTTTATATAAGGCTTGCGATTTTCAAACACCTTCGTTACTTGAAAAGGCTGTGATAAGTATTCAAGGGTACCAAGTGGTTTATACAGTCATGCTTGGCTTTAGCGGTGTACGGAATAATGATTAGGAAATTCGGCCCGAGATCCGATAGTAGATGGTTCGAAGAATGTTGACGTACTTCTCAGGCATTCTCCTCAAGCGACAACTCCAGGGAGCAGCTTCGTCAACTCGGCCAGACGCGGCCTTTACGTGTAAGAAGACCGATTGTTGGCGGGCCGAACGTTTCACGACGCTCGATTATTTGGCTGAGCGTAAAGATTTGATGTGGCCGGAGCGAAACCCACTTGCTCTTCGTGTATGTTTTGTTCGCGTAGCAGGCTGAGTCTCCTTAAAAGCAAGGCGACGAGCACTTTAAATGCAACGCAGATGAGACGAATCCCTCTGATATCACAGACTGTCCGATCATCCAATTTGAGTACGGACACAATATCCGCTAGACTTCAATCGGACGGGATTGCTTCGGTGCTCCAAACCTTTTGGTGGAAGGGAGTTAGCTCTCTTACGAGTGATGAGCTTCCATCTTTGAAAACTGCCGAAGGAAGTTCGTGCTTCACGTAAAAGCTCATGAGAAACCTCAGCCTCAGAAGGTAATGAAGCGTCCACACTCCAGGGAGCAATACGGATTCCCGAATGAGAGATCACCAGTGCTGCAGACCATTTGAACTGCTGCTCAAAGTGCTCAGCTCAATGCGCAACTCGACGTTGTTGGCAGTGAATTCGCTCGCCAATGGTTTCGCACAAAGCTTCGCTTGCAGTCCGCCTTTTGCCGCCAGTAGATCGGATCATGTGAGAAAGCTTTCGAAAATTCCCCTAGCTGGCCGCTTTCTCCATGTTAATGATCCGTTGCATCCACCAGACCTCGCCATCCTCCCACAGGAGCAGTTTGAGTTCAGCGTTAATGGTCCTGCGTAGTGATTGATACTCAACACCAACTGGAATTGCCCGACGAGCTTCGAGAAGTTGGAGATATCGTGCAGAGATCCAGTGGTTGACAGGACTACTGGTGAAACCACAGGTCAGAGTCGCAGAGTTGTGCATGGCACTGCGGAGGTGTGCTCAGTGCATTTCAACGCCAGCGCAAGACACACTCTTGAGATTTAAGGTTAACACATCCTGAAACGCGCTGCGAACGCTTGGAGTAGGAAGTCTGGTCACGTCAAACCGAAAGCCAGTCTTCGACAGGAAGAGCCCTTGTTCGGCGCAGAGGTGAAGTAAACGATCACAGTCATCTGTTCTGCTTGCGCAATGGTCATGTCCACCGAATTCACGTTCTTTAACCTCAATTATAACGACTTGCGCGTTCAGTTCCCCTGCAATCACTACTATATCTGTACTGCGCTTTTTTTCGGAGGTCGCACAGTTGACAGTAGTATTCTTTAACTGACCGTGTTGCAGTCTATGTGCGTATGCTGCTTTAACGAACAATCAACGTCTGCTGGCTGCGCGACTGGGAAGTCTTACTGAGGCCTCAAGTCGGCTTGCGCAGAGTCGATTGTTGATAGGGATTCATTCTAGTAGCGTGGCCTCAGTACGTGTGCTCAGCGCGATTCCCACGCCGGCAAAACCAGCGGCTTCGGTGATTGCGTCTCTAGATAAGCGCAATGTGAAAATACCAGTAGAACTCGCAAACGGCGAAACCAGTCATAGCATCCTGCTAGGGTCCTGTAATCGGGTTTCAGTGAGGCAGCAAACATCAGTGGCTGTAGTCCCAAGCGTGCGATCAAGGGCTGTTTGTGATCCGATCTACATCAGCGTCTGTACGTTATTTGTTGCCGGCTTGAATTAGGAACGGGCCGTTAGAAAAGGTTTGCCAGTGCTGCTTGGCGGCGCACCCTGGGACCTTAATTCCTGATCCGTTTGGCCAGTGCTGTGGCCTCGAAAACGAAGCGGGATTACCAAGGGTTGGGAAGTTGCACAAACGTGGAATAAAGCAACCTAACTGTGGTGCGCTAGAGCCCGCTATTGCATGTTCGGCCACCAGCACCTCGGCCGAGGGTAGCTTTGGCAAAGAAGGGCGAGAGAGAGCAGAAAGTCGTTGAAGCATTGGTCCATAAGTTGTGTGGGCATGTAGTTTCCCGGTTGCCAAGGCCGAGGTAGACAGCCTGTAGTAGAAGGGAGCTCAGACTTATAATAGTGACTCCCTGTGTCAGGAATGCCCTCTGGATGCGCCAAATGTTGCTTCATTCCATTGCAACGCTTCTATAGAATTTTCATATTGAAGCCTTCAATCATAACTCTTAATGGGACATTTTGCTCCGTTCTCTTAACCCACTTTGGTCATGAAACGTTACATTGTTGCTTGACACGGCGGGACTGGGCCTTAACGTGGTGCGCTGATTTTGCAAGGAATCAGTAGTACATCGGAGCCGTGCCGGCGCTTCGTTGTCACGAGACCACCAATAGTCGTGCGAGAGCTGGGTATACCGCGAGGTTGCCAGTACCTACGCGGATTCGATCCGGTGACCTCTGGATTACAGCGCATGCCCGTGACCCTATTGGCCACCGGCTGATCATCTGTGTACCTCCAAGATCCGATGGGCCACACTGGACGGTGTATTCCGAGTGCCTTCAGGGTCACTTATCTCAGATAGGTCAACGGTTACAGGTTAAACCAACCCAGCATTTTTGTCTTCGAAGTTTGGAAGAGTTTGATAACTTCCTTCGATGTCCATTCAAGGGGGACAGCGACATACACACTTAGCTTCGTTTGATTGGCGTAGAACACAAGCAACACTCGTTGCCTCCAAAGGTTAAAGATCAACATTCTCATCAGTTGGTTTGCTATCGTCTACCTCAAACCAGACAGTTACTTGTCATTGAGGTGCAGACCCCACTACTTTTTGGCCGTGGTCGCATTTGCGTACCATACTACTGTCAAAAATCACACATGAATTTTTCTGTGCATCTAAAGTTTGCATGTGACCGGTCTCAAGCAGATCCCAATAAGACTATAGCCGCACTCTCCATCTGCATGTTCTCCCTATTGGTTTGTTGATTAGACTGTTCATACGAAGCCTAAGGATAGAACACTCAAAGCAAAATCCCCCTTCCTGTATGAGCAGCTATAGAGCAACATTCCAAAGCCTGCTATCGGCAATAGTCTTTCCAATTCCGTTTGCCTTCTTTCACCACTCCTCTTGTCGGGTTTGTCAACAGAAATCCGCAACTGCTCCCATCAGCCACCAAGGGTGCATTCCGCATTGCATTTTTCAATGTCTGTACATTATGTCCGATAAATCAACTGCGGCGCTTGTCATGACGTTACCCTCCGTCGGATTTAGTGTATGTTGGCCGAAGTGCGTACAGGACAACATTCAAGACCCATCCGTCAACCGTTACCCCAAAGGATCATTCGCGTGAGTCGTATCCCAGAAGTTGCTGTTTCGAATTCGCATAGGTACAGCTGACCTTGCGGCAAACACAGCGCAAACGCGACTGCGGATGATCGCGTGGTAAGGAAGCGGCAGTACGATGTGCCGGTCTATTGTTGACCCTTTTTTTCTGATTTCTGATCCATCCGCGCTTACCACACTCGGGTTCAAATGATGGGGTTTACACGCTTCGCGAATGCTAGCTTTCTATAATAAGTGCCAGTGAACAATTTCAAATGCGGAATTCGACTTCGAAGCTATGTCAGAGTTACTAGCGGCCTAAGACAACGTTCTTTTTTCAGCTTAAGCCCAGAATTTTTCATAGACCAATTGTACAACAGGTTTTCTCCTCAAAATAACCGACTGGTATCACAGTGGTTGAAACTGAATTTACTGTCTGTTTTTCTCTCGTCAGGACCATAACTTCGCAACGAGACTGTACCTTTTCGTGGTGCGATGGTTTTCCTACCCTCGTGGCCCATTGATCTATGTTGGGTGTCACTTTCCATGTGCCTTCAGAGCCACTCATACCAAACAGGTTATGGGTCAGACTAACACTCTCACAATCCATTCCTCTTCGGAGGTTAGGTAGAGGTCTATGGCTCTTCCTTTAAAACCGAGCCATGTGAGATATTAGGTCTACTGATTATAAGCTCACAGTTGGATTAGTGTAGAATACGCGCGTCGCAACGAGACTGGACCTTAACATGGTGCGACGGTTTGCGTACCTCATTGACCCATTGAGCTATAATGGGTGATGCCTCCGGGCACCTTGAGAGCTACTCCTACCAGGTTGGTCAATGTTGAGAGGTCAGACAAACTCAGTCACTTGGTCCTCCAGGTTGGGGGTTTGAAATGGGATGGCATCCATTTCTGTAAAACTAAATCATTGCCACCTCCCAGCTGCCTTGCGGACAGGCTTTTGAGCCAAAGGCTTTGGATGAGGACCTTAATCATCCTCCTGTCTAGCTCTGGGCACCCTGGCAGTATCTCAGCGCACATACAACCATGACATTTTCTTCAAACATAAACTTCATCCTGCATCGGCCGTCGCGCAGATTAGCAAGTGTCACCTTATCTGCTGCACACAGCAGGGCGGATAAGCGAAAACATACTACTGCTGGCGTCTCCCTTCTTTTTTTCCACCTTTTTCTCTTACTCCCATCCCGATCCCCATTACTAACCTTTCTTCTATAATTCCCAGCTTAATTGACAGCAACCGAAGTGCCACTGGAGTAGAAACATCTGCAGCCACCATCCCACCGCACCTATCGGACGACTATCGGCAAAAGTCCCTTATAAGGCCACTCTGTCCCGTTTTCATGGCGACGTTCAACGTTCACACTCCAAGACAAACAGGTCAACAGGCTGCACTCGCACGCACCTTGGACACACTTGGTATTAATGTGTGTTGTGTGTCCGAAGTTAGGATCAATGACCCTAACGGGGTTATTGAATTGACTGCACCCGACTTTTCCTCTCGTTATTGGTTGCACGCATCCGGAGACGCCGATGCAGCACTCATGGGTCAAGTTGGTGTAGGTATTATTCTAAGCTCCAAGGCTGAGTCATTGTTGGATGAT